TGACAATAAATCACCGGCTGATGATTTTCGTGTTTCTGGTCAATAACTGACAATGACCACGGTGAACCGCTATACCCCGTCGGCACGCAATCTCCCCCCTCAGCTGTCTATAAAATGACCGCCCCTCGTCGACACCTGTCGAGAACGCTCTTGGCTCCATTTGAATCTTTGTCCACGAGGCAACACCGTCCTCAGCGCTTGCAATACCGTGTGTTCCAATTTGAGTTTCTGTTGGAACTCTTCTGCTACGATCACCAAAACAATGTGGAAACAACTTCTGATTCTCGGCCTGGTGGTTACCGGGACCATCGCTCAGGGCTATACACGTCCGAGAGGTTTCTTTAACCGTCTTGGCGGCAGAAGAAGGAACAACCTGCTGCTAGGTAGCGGCGGCGGAGGAGGAGGTGGAGGCGGAGGAGGAGGAGGTAGTAATGGAGGATTTGGTTTCGGCGCCGGCTTTGGAAGCGGCTTTGGCAACAATGGCGGCGGCGGAGGAGGAGGCGGCGGTGGCGGCGGCGGCGGTGGTGGCGCCGGAAATGGTTACGGCTTTGGGGCCGGATTCGGAAGTGGATATGGTGGTTCCAGCGGCGGCGGAGGCGGTGGCGGTGGTGGCGGCGGTGGTGGTGGCGCCGGAAACGGATACGGCTTCGGGGCCGGATTTGGAAGTGGATATGGTGGTTCCAGCGGTGGTGGTGGCGGCGGTGGCGGAGGCGGTGGTGGCGGCGGCAGTAACGGAGGCTCCGGATTTGGCGCCGGATTTGGCTACGGCTCCGGCAGAGGGTACAATGCCAGATATGGACGCCGCTACTGAGGTAGTTTAATACGCTGATGCTAAAGATGTAGTAACAATTAGGTAAGCTGCCTTCCGTTCATTTAAATATTTGCATTTTATTCGTCTTATAGCTTAAATTTCTTAATTAAATTTTTTGCTTTATTATATAATTACAATGCAAAAACCTTACAGTGTTTTCATTTTCATGCACTTTTCAATATTTTCTGGAATAAATATATACAGGGATGTTCTTTTTCATTAGCAAGTTACATGTTAAAAGGAATTATTCTGCTTTCTCTCACCATATTTGCGTGCAATATTTTTGAATAGCATATTGGCATATAATGCTGAAGAACAATTGTTTTTACACTGACACTACGTGGAAAGATCAACAGAAAGATCATAAAAGATCAATAAAAAGTTTTCATTTCATTTCAGAATTGGATTTGGACAATGGCCAAAGTTAACTTCTGGAAAGTTGAGTCCAACACCTAAAATGAATCTCTTAACCGCTCAGGAATTTTAGTAGCCATAAAATGACCAAATGACGATTCACAATGTGTTTATTATACATAGTTACGTGACAATACAGCAGCCGATGAAAATGTTAAATGATTTAGGTGGATGTAAATATCAATATACGCCATTATGATCAAGCGAAAATTAAAAACATTTGACGACGCCATTTTGCTTAACTTTGGTGAGCAAGAGCCTTTTGTGTTTTTCTTAGATAGTGTTATTATGTTATCCACTCGGTTCGTATTTGTGCATGTACTTTTCACTTAAATTTTATATCAAGACTGAATAAATTTTCTCTGTACAATTTCTATGAGTTATGTGAGGTTATGGCGTCTTAGTACACGTTACTTTACCCGACTCGTACATTCAAGTACTTTTTTAAACTTTTTATTACAAAAATGTGACTTTTATCAAATCTTTCTTTCTAAGCAACCATAATACTATTTGTAAAATAGTTCAGATAGATTTTAGCAGTTTGCTATGCTGCCTGGTAAATTACCATCGCTAAACGGGATATTGTTATTTCGGCAAGCATTTGGAAAAAATTAGCAAACTAAGCCCCATGGAAACGAAAGCGGTCAGGCTGGTTGTGTCTTTTAATTTGCAGTATTTTTGACGTCTTTAAAAAATTTGTACTTTCATATATTTGATCTCCTCATATAATAGATACTTTAAACAAAAAACCACTTTTAGAGGTTTTCTCACAAAAATACGAAAATTGTATTCTCTCGTGCCTTCGTTAATTTTGTAGCACTTGTCGATTATGGAGGTTTCTAGTTCCGTGTCTAGCCCACCATACGAATAGTCGTTTTAAAGATCAGGTTTCACTCATGCGTTTTTTATACAGTTCTTGCATTATCAACCTGCGTAAAGCATTAGTTGATAGTGGGTGGATAAGTGGGTGGCGCATACTTCCATTACTAAAATAAAATTATTATTTGCAATTGGTTATTTACACGGGTTATCTGAAAAGAAAATGGAAGGATGTAATTATCAGATAACGACAAGTCCCTTGTGCTATTTCTTTATAATGGCGGGAGAGAAAAGATATTATAAATTCTTTGAATATTCTTCTATTAGATTTTAACCCTCAAAACAATAACGAAATGATTTAAAACAGTAATAGCGAAATACAATTTTCCGAAAATTATTTAATAAGTCTTGTCAAACTAATGTCTCATGGTCAGCAAAGAATTCATAGATGCATATGTAGGAAATCATTCTTGGTGCGGCATTTAGTTTTCTCTTCATGGGATGATAGCCTCTACTCCTCTCTTGCCGATAAGATGGATCTGTGGAAGAGGCTCTGGAAAGAGAAATAAACGTTTAAATTTTTACAAGCGTAACATAGGTTTAACCTTATCGTTTTCTCTAAGATATCAAATTAATTTGATATTTACACAAGCAAATTAAGGCATGTGATTCAGTTAATGGGGTTTTACAGCTGATTTACATGTACCCAATTTAAAAAGTTGAATCAGCTAGATAATTTAAGGAATGATCAGGTGATGTGTATGTGTAGAAAGATGTGACCTTACCGTCACTGCATTCAATCCCCACATCTTTATCGTGGTTGCAAAAAGCAGCTCCCCATTTCCAAGAGGTGGGACACTGAACGATAGATTGCTCGTTTCCTTCACAATCCAAAAGCCTTAGCCACACTGGATATGATGTAGACATTTTCCCAAGTTTCCCGTTTGTGAAGAACTGCGTAGCGTTCTTAAACCCAAGTTGACGACATAACACTCTGGCAACGTCCATGTTCATGTAGTAATCACAAAGTGACCCCCATACGTCGTTGTGCCACAGGCTTACCACACCTGAGTATACGTGACCGAAGCGACTTGTATTTGTAGGTGCAGACAGTCGAACAATAGTTCCTGCAAAATCAAATTAATGTGACTAACGTGCGTCAGTAGAATAATAAATGTTTTCCTTAACATATGAAATCTGTAACTGTTAGTTGTATATAGAGAACTCGCACGTGATTACTGCTGACTGAGAAACGCTATCTGCTCGCTTAAGCCTAGGTCCCAACTACGTTTTGGACGCCGGAGCACAGGTCTCAAACTACTGCGCATGCGCAAAAAGTACTCTGTTTGATAAATATTAAATAATAAATTGAAAAAACCTGCCGGTGTTTACTGTCTGGTTGATTTGATTTAATTTGCTTTCTGGTGTTGTTTTGAGATATTATATTGGAAATGTTCTGTTGATTGTATCTATTTAAAAGCAAATCCATCGGACTTTCCTTGGATTAACATTTATTTTGCCTTCATTGTAAGGGGGATTCCCTTCGCATTTATAGTGTTATATGTGGCCCCAAGGGGATTTTCCACCCCTCCCCCACTCTTGATTAATTAAATTCTTCATCGGGCAGGTTGAAAATGATATTGCAAAATACATTCAAAATCGTAGGAAGGTTAATTACAGATAATGCTGCGAGGACATTTCTTGTGCGAGGGCAAACTCGGCCAATATAAAATTTTTAACTTCGTCTCCCGGTTTTGGAGCGCCTGTTCTAATTTTTGAAAGCGAGGCAATGGAACCAAACAAAACGATACAATTTGTAATCTCGTAAAAATTGCTATTTTTAAATAGAGCTCATAGCATGGAGTACATGGAAATGCGACTCGTTTATTATTATGATCTTTAATAATAATTAATATAAAACAGGGGCGGATTTAGGCCATCTTCTGGGTCTTCCGGAAGACTGTCAGATTTTAAAGTTTACATTGACGGGTATCTAATATTTTCTGTCGGAAGAGGGTCAAAAATGGAGGATGGATCAACAAAGATAATTTGGAAGGCTGTCAGAAAATATCTCTGAATCCGCCCCTGTAAAATATACGATTTAATAAGTTCTTGTTCCCGGCCTATTTATTAGCTTAATTGATTTTTTTTTTTTTTTAGTATTTGGAGATTATTTACACAAAAGTTGTCTAGTTTCATATCGAGGCACCACGTATTGTTCGTGTGCTGACGCACGTTTTTTTTTTTTTTTTTAGTGCGTACGGCTAGGATGTAGCTAGATCGCAGGGAAGGAATCAAGTAATTGGTGAAAAGTATCTACGTGCTGTTTGCGTCCTCCAAAAGTCACACGATGGACGTGCTCCTCACGCACGAACTCCCACGTTTTCCCCATTTATTTGGCCGTAGACCACACGTAGCAGCCCGTACGTTCGGTTGGGACCTAAAGCTACTCTTACAACCGGTAGTGCGTGCTCCTACGAGCGGTTTGCGTGCAAAATATTGACCAAGTAGTAAGATACACGCACGTGGAACGTACTTTTTTTGGTGGACGCAAACGCGACGCAAAGCACGCAGCCCGAAAACTGGCCGGCCAGTTTTTCGCTACGACCTGTCTGCGACAATTAGAACGCCAGAAGCACGCTCGTAGCACGCAAGACAAAAGTGCTGAGTAAGTGCGCTAGGCGTACGTGTAACACAGGAAAAGCATGCAGAAATCCCGGGGTACTTTACCACAAAGACGTATACTTATCACGCAAGAGACTCGTACGTTCAACTTGCTTTCAATGTACGTGTTAACAAAAAGGGGGGTGAGCGCACTTCCTCCGTGCGTTTATCTTACTTCCAAAGTGCGTAGCGAGTACAGTAGAAGTGCGTCACACTAAGACGACGCATGTGACCAGCACGATAAAAGTGCGTCACAAGTACTTGCTTAGGTGCATCGTGCGCCTATATCAAAGCTGCTACGAACAGTCTGCTCTCAGTTCAAAGTCGATGGCGCATCCTTCTTGGAAGTGCGATTTTTGGAAGCTAAAACAGTGAATGATGAAGAGACTCGGTGCTCCCTTTTATATTATTTTGAATTTACGTGCGTTCCACCAATTTGACTCACGAGTGACGTGCTTAACACTTCCGTGCTCATTACGTTTCTCTTACGTTTCTCTTACTTCGTATGTACGATTTCTGAAAACGCACGCTTCACTTGCAATACACGTACGCTTATCTCACTCACTGTGTGCGACACAAGTACAGATCGTACGTTCTCTTTACCTCTTCCTACTTCCAAAAAGGCGTACAGACCAATGAAGTACTTACTATTTACATCAGCTGCGATTTAATTTTCATCCTGCGACAACGCTACGCCTGACAAGAACTCCGAGGACGCACGATCTCTAAGCACGCACGACGGGTTGTAAGAGAGCCTTAAGCTTTAAATGCGTGCTGAATGCGCGGGTCATTCCCTCCCTTCGCCAAAAAACCTGTTGTGCATCCGTTGGATTTTTTTACACGTGCGTTCTATATTCGTTCTTCATGCGCCCTTTATACGCAAAACACGCCAACAAAACGCTTTTCAACTCGCACTTTTCTGGCAAATTCTGTCAAAAGTTGGACGCGCAACAGGGTATTTGGCTTATTTTCATGCGCAATGCATGCGTGCCTCGTGCGTTCTGTAGGTGTGACCGGGCCTTAAACAAAACATTGAGTGCTTTGACCTAATACGTAAATCTTGTAACAATTAAGAGTCCATAGCTACATCAAAAATAATAATAAAAACAGAGAGAGAGAGAGGAGAGGGAGAGAGTCTAAGAGTTCATGCTAAAACTTATTGAGGACAGTTTTGAATACAGGTTATAAAGTCTGGGCACTTTAGGCATACATGTACACGATATAAACAGTAGACATTAGACTCTAACTGTACTGCATTTTAGTCTAAAGTAGAAGAGAAATATCATAAATACCACAGTTCATCTCATCTTCGGGCATTTCACTTCTGTATCCCCCGCAGTCAGGGATTTGGTCACAATATAGACGACGAGGAAGACACATGTCGTCTTTAGGGCAACGAAAGTAACCACTGGGACAATCACCTAAATTGTATGCACGTACGATATAAGATACTGAGTACAGGGGTATATCTGCCCTGAATTTTAGCGTGTCCTCAATTTGAATATTCATAAGGACAAGTGAAACAAATAAATGCTGATATTTCATTTTTTCATCTTTACGTATAATATTCATTATTTATTCCATTCATATCCATTAACAGAACTACTATCTTACCACACATCCGTTCGTCAGATCCGTCTCCACAGTTATCATATCCATCGCAGATGTTTGATTTATGCACACACTTGCCATTGTCACAAGCGAAATAATACCCACTGCACTTAGCTGTAATATTCAACGGCAAAAAATGAATATTTGAATATACCATGACAGACAGCGTTTTTATTTTTATTTATTTATTCATTTATATTTTTGTGGGGGGATACCAAAATATATTTGTAACGTGGCACTTTGCAGTTCTTACTACCTACACATCAAACACCCCCTCTTT